GAACTCAACACAGTCTCTCGAGCAAACTACAAAATGGCGGAAAGGCACATGCCGTGGCGCGCGATGCATTCTGGGCTCCGTGGTGCGCCGCACGGCCCCGCCACCGCGCCGTTTTATCTCGCGCTGGCACAAGGTGGCGCTGGGTGGCGCGCACGGCCCTCCTAGAGTACCTATAATGAGAGTATGGCCATAAGAGTCGAGATTGGTGCCGCCATATGTAGGACCAAATCGGTATGTTAGTGAGTCTGTGAATCGGTGTATCAGGCTGCTTACTAATATACGTAGTCAAAAGATTAGTCCCGTTCGAGCTGTCATCAAGAACGCATTGTGTGAATTGCATCCGTAAGATTTTTGAATTGCTGTATTTTTACTTCAAATATGATAAAAACACTTTTGCAATACTTTTGCACAGTACAGTCCGATGAAAAAATCACTCGAATATGCCATACCCAATATGACAACTGAGGGGTAAATTGTACAATTTTGTTTATAAATTATTTTGTTATTACAATGTAAACGTTTTACTTTTTACCTTTCACTTTACATTGTAAAAATATATTGTATTTTTTGGATATTAATGGATTGGCGTGGTGTACTACATACGTTTTATCATAACTCGAGTTTCAGACAACAACCATGGGGCGATGCATTTCTCGTGATGCAAGATCATCAAATGGAGTGAAGATGTGCACTTCGCTGTGTTCAAACGCTGCGCTTGATTTTCCGTTCTTTCCGGCGTAGTCCCAGTAATGGCGACTTCCGCTCTTATGGCCATACTCTCATTATAGGTACTCTAGACCCTCCCAAAGCCCGCCATTTTTGAATCCTCCTTTTTTTGCTAAAGACCCGATTTTCCATGTTTAGATTAATATTGGGCGCGTTCAACGGACTCAACAGTTGAGTGAGCGCTCGCTATTATTGGTGTATTCTTTTAGATCATCCAATCAGAATTTTAGATCTAGGAGAATACACCAATAATAGCAAGCGCCCACTCAACTGTTGAGGCTGCAGTCTATTTGATGCTGCGAATGCTTCGAAGCATTTTTTGATTGGATAATTAGTATAATTCTTTCTTCTGATTGGTCAGTCAAAAGCTTCGAAGCATTTGTAGCGCCAAGTGGACCGCACTCTGAGTTCGCTGAATGCGCCCATTAGCCTAACCTAAATGGACTTTCAATAATAGGCTATAACTTAAGAAAACACAAACAAGTCCAAAAAAGTCCAAACCGATATGAGAATCCTCCAAAAATTACCACGTAAGTTCTTTCTTCACACATATATATATATATATATATATTATATATATAAATGAATGCAAGCATATATCCAAACAAAAAAAACTTTTCCGGATTTGACTATAATTTGCAAGATTATCATGAGACCTTCAAATTATGATTTTGAAGCTTACAAAATAAATGGCACGAGAAATACGATTTGTGTGTACATACATAACCCTATATTCAAGCGATATATAAGATATAACAGAACAAGAAATGTACGTAACGTTTTACTTAATGGCTTATTTAATGTATGTACGTAATGTTTTTCTTAATGTATGCAAATATTTTCTTGAAGTATGTAATACTTAAATTGAAATTAAAAATCTGTCTTATCGACATCGATTAAGTTCGGCTGTTTTTCCAGCATTGCCTATCTAGTTATACCCTAACTATGCGAGTCAACAACAGACTCAAATCTAAAAATAAAATACCAATGTATTTTATACACTTACAAAGCATAATAAAATAAGTTAATTTAAAAAAAGAAAAAATCTACGTATCACGTAGTACATATGTATAAGAGAAATTATGGATCATTTCTAATCAAATTCGTTAGTCCGGATCTACAATAGATGTTTTAAACTTTAAGTCGTAAGAAATTAATCAATTACAATTAAATTCGAAAAGAATAATCAATTATGATTCGTCCATTTCTTAAGGTTTAAGGATTAAAACTCTCTATTGTAGATCCGGATTTATGTAGGATTCACACTGCGTATGATATTCGACATATGGCTGCAGGACTGCGTTCAGAATCATCATCTGAGTGCACCCAGGTGTCGTGTTATCCTTGTTTATCATTCGTGAACAACAAGGATAAAACAACATCTGGGTGCATCCGGACGACGATTCTGAACGCACCCCAGCACACTGGACGCGGAAACGCTTGCCGCGAGGCAAAATGTGACACGGTAGCCAATGGACATGTTAGTAGCTGTAATCACGGCCAATCAGCGTCGCGCCGGCAAGATATTAATTGGTTATCGTGCCAACTTCCGCCGCGCGGCAAGCGTTTCCGCGTTCTGTCTGCGGGAGCCGTGGCACGCAAAAAAACTTAAAAAAGTAATAAGGGCCTTGGTACACAAAAAACTTAAGAAAGTAAGACGTAAGCAGTAAGGAAATCAACGTTGTGGATTTGCTACTGTTTAAGTTATGGCCTAAAGCCGTAATCACCCTAGCGATTGAGCGATTGTGATTGACGATTACTTTTCAACCAATCAGAGCAAAGCAGTCACCGATTACTTCGTTCCGATTGGTTGAGAAATAATTGCGTGCGCATTTATAGTGTGAATTTTAGTTTATTGTTATTTTATTTTAATTTATAATATATTAAATGTTTTATTAGTTCACACATATAATATTGACTCTTAATTGCCTTTTTATTTCATTGACTATTTTTTAATTCCCTAACTTTTCTCAATAATCGTTAACTTTATATAACTTTAATTTTATCCATTCTTTAAAAAATCTACTAATAGAACTAAAGAAAATCTGTTGAAACGGAAGAGTTTGGCAAAAATTCGATATTTCAATTTTTTGAAATATTTAAATTTTCTAGTTTAAAAAAATTGTTTTAAAAAATCGAAAAGTGTTAAATATATCAATCCCATTTTCTATATTCTAAGAAAACTAAAAAAAAAAAACGAAAATCTGTTAATAACGCTCGATAAAAAGCGTCCTTTTTAACCTATCCGATCGAAACCAGGGGTCAATCACGTACTTTTTCCCCTAGGACGTAAATAAAAATTTTTTGCATGCATGTGTGTATATGTTCATACATACATTCATAAAAGTTTTCACTTTTTACGTTTCCGCCCTAGAGAAAAAGTTACGTGATTGATCCCCTGATTTGAATTTTTTTCGAGAAATCTTTAAAAAAAATTAATTAATCGCAACAATGACCTTTGACAAAAAAAATGTTCAAAATTTCCGGAAATGAAAAAACCGAGAAGTACTAAAAATTGTCCTTTTTTTGGTTACTTTTTTGCTTATTCTCTTTTTGTTTGTTATTAATTGGTATTTTTTTATTGATAATTTCTACTAAATACTCTACAAATTTAGTGCGAACGAAAATAGAAATGTTATTGTAATCTTTAAACCGGAGAAAAGTGAGTATAGGGAAAAATATGTTATCTTAATTATCTCTCTTGAAAAGAAGTCTCATCTCCTAAAATGGTAGGAACGAAAAAAATTGTCAATTTTTCTACATTCTCTCTCAATTAATCTTTCTAAAAATTTCAACAATTTCAATCCTTCACGGTCATTTCTAACATTTTGCGTAGATTGCGAAACTTCTTATATATATATATATATATTTATTCAAGGAATATATATATATATATATATTCCTTGAATAAATAGCAAAATACTCTTGGACAGATACAAGAAATACTTTTTCTATTTAATCTCTAGAACTAGCATTTTATATATCTATCGTATCTATTCCGTTAATACCGAGAAACAGTTTCTATGAAATAGCGATTGTAACAAACATAATCGATAAATAACGATAACTTATCTCTAATGATTTTTTTATAAGCCACCACATTCGTGCATTTAATTCGTACATTCGCTATCACATGGCGATGGATATCAATTTTTATGTATATTCATCTATAAATTCCTCAATTTTTATTTCTTTTTATCTATTTTCTCTTTTATTTTATTCTCTTTTCCTTGCAATTTATCATATGATATACGAATATTATAAAAAATAAAAGGTTTTATATTAATCAAGTAGAAACACATCTATTTAGTTACATTGAATGAGCAAAAAAATTAATATATTTCTAAAATATCCAACTTTTCTCATTAATTTGACAAATTTAGTAACAGAAAGTCGATTTTTATAGAGTCGAAACAGCGAAAAGGAAAAGGGACAAAATGGTCATATTATATTTCATTCATGTGTGCATTATTTATCTAGAACAGCCACATTTTATTAACTCTCATTATTATTATTTCAAAACAATTCGTCATTTAATTATTACTGCCTTAAAACGGGATGGAAAACAAGAGCGAAGAGATATGATACGGGGCGGAGGGATGTCCTCTACACGAAAGAATCAAAATCGGCCCTACAAATATTCAACAAATCATCACAATGAAAAGGACAAGCGCAGAACATACATATGCATACACACACTCACTCTCACTCTCTCTCGCTCTTAATTTTCAATTACAAATGTAAAAAAAGAAAAGAAAAATCTTATATATCGCGTTTTTCCTACGAGGGACTGCAGAGAAGAATGCGATGAGAGGAAGAGAGCCCAAGTCAATCAACAGTCAACCTACAGTTTTACAGCTTTCTCGGAACACGTCTATCGCGCCCAGATACATACTATCTAATGCAAGAACGAACATCCATCCGGTGCTGATAATTACCGCTCGTTCATCTATGCTTCTTCTCCTCCTCCTGTTTCTCTTCCACGATGTTTATCAAAATCAGATGTGTACTATCCACTGCTGTATAAGACAGGGGAATCCCTACCTCAACAGTCTCTATCACCTAACATAAGGCTTACAGTGTGACGTATTGCTTTTATCTCAAGAAAAGATTCTGATTAGAATAGATATATTGCCTATAGGTATACGCTGGTTATATGCCTATATATCTTCCCTTTCTTTCGCTATATGTCTTCCTTCTTTCTTTTATTCACCTTTTATCCTCTATTGTTTATTTTCCTCTCTATTTCGTATTCTTTCTTTCTCTTTTTATTATTGAAATATATATGCGCGCGTGTTTGTGTGTATATATACATATATATGTATATATTTATAATGTGATAGTATAATCGGGATATCCCACGAAAAGTTTAGTGAATGATATACAGATTCAATTTGAGATAATCATGTAGAGCTGACGAGGGGTGGAGCTGTCTGCTGTTGTTGTGGGTTGTGGCATGGATGGTAATTGTTGCTGTTGTTGTTAATTGATTAAAAACCATGGACTTTGAGCTGGTCAGGTTTTGCCAGACCTGACTTTGTCAGCCACTGGCATATATTCTCTCGTTGGTCCCCCTGCAGCTGCAGCACCTCCCCGTACTCCGGGTGCTCTATTACTGTCCCATTGCAGGCAAACTCCTGGAAAAATATGAACGCAATGATAAATAAACAGGCACTCTTTGTAGGAACTTTTATCTAAACTATTCACTTTTGTAGAATGTTGAATTCTTTTATCTCTCCCAAAGGAATTTGGGAGAGATTGGTCTGAAAACTTTGCAGATACCGTTACTAAAATGAGAAACAAATAGTTTGTTCCTCTATCACGATTCTAATGACTGACATGAAATAGCAATGTTTAAATATCAAAATGTTATACATTTTTTAAATAATTCTATTAAAAAATCAACATTAATAAATTGATATATCAAAAAGGATATTTGTGCTAGTAAGCATTATTTATCTATGTTTAATATTTGATAGATAAGGATGAAATGATGTTTACAGTATATAAATGTACAAAGTAAATGTACCCAAATGTTATTGTAAATGCGTATAAATTGCTAATAAGATACACCAATTTTGTTTAAAAACTCGTGTATCTTTCCACTGACACAATGAGATAAAGCAATTGTGTTCCAAAATTATCTATGTCAGTGTGTAAATATATAATCTTTAATATGTATAAAAAAGTGTTTTTTCTTTTATTTTATCTTACTCAACAACAAACAGCATTGGAATAAAAATAATATTGAATATTTTTAATATCTCTCTCAAATATTACTGATTAATTTAACAGTGGACACAAAGCAATTACAAAAAGAACCAAGTCATTGATGATGATCAATATTCTCAAATAGAAACAAAGATCATTCCCCCTTTACGTCAAATCACTTGCAAATGCATTCGCATGCCATAAATTCCTAGAAGAAATTGCAAAACTACATCTGTTCCGATCATCTATCCAGCCTATATCAACATGATTGTTTGCATCAGACCTATTTTTAGAGTTCTGCCTAATCAGCCAATGGTGGGGGAACAGCAAAGAGAAACAGAGGAAAGCAGAAATATGACGGCAATAAAGGCGGGAGAAAGGCTTGGGGAAGGGGATCCTCCCCTCAATGTAGGAGAGGGAAGCATGGCACACTCACCTTTTTACATGCTCTCACAATTTTCTTCAAGTCATATTCCGAGGAAAGTCCTTGCACCGTTGTTAAGGTTTTGCGACCATTCCGCTGCTGGATCCTTATATGAACGAGGCCGTCCTGGACGTCATCATCTGAACCCTTGATTGCATCTGCAAAGGGGTCTGCAAACACGGAAAGAAGAGGGGCATAGATGAAAGAGAGATCGCGCGGAGTGTGGGACGCTCCCAGCGCGGGATTGCGCAGGATGATGCAAAGAAGGTCGAGAACGCGCGCGCGCGCGCGCGCGAAAGAAAGAGAGAGAGCAACCCCTGTCGCCATTTTGATTGACTCGAGGGAACCTTAAAACGATGGTGTTTTATTGTCCTCGTTCGCGAAGGACACCGTGCATGAGGAAGGCGACGGCCTCAAAGAGCAGGAAGATACAGACGAAAAGGGGGGGTGGGGGAGAAGGGGGGTAAAAGGTGCGACATTTTTTCGTTCACACTCACCGAATGTGTTGAGATTCTGGATGGACATACGACAAACAAAAGAGATCCCTCGGATGATATAGAACTGCGGAGCGCAGGTGACAGTCGTAGGGGCAGATGAATGTGGAGAGATGTTGCTAAGATCAGCACTTGAAAGTCGCGTGAACACCAACGGAGCACAAAAGGACTCGACGAAAGCCAAGCGCGATGGCCGTGTACGCAGCCGGAAGTAAAAGTTGCATTTGTCACGATGGGTGGGGTTGTGCGCGTTCCTAAAATAAGCCGTGAGATTTGCCACGAAAGCGCGCGATTCGCAGGCGCTGTGGTGACGGTCTAGATAGCGGGAGAGCATGATTGGTGCGCTGGTACCAATGGACAAACATGTGAAGCTATAAGGGTCTGTTCGCGTTGCATGAAATCCCCAAATAATTTTCCACTTAAACTGAAATAGATATATATTTCGCGTTAAAAGGAGAGAAAGCGAAGATGGTAAAGTGCAAAAAGTGCAAGTAAAGGTTGGATTATACTGGCCGTAATCTGTTAACTTATGCTGTAATCTGTAAAAATTGACCAATTATAATCGATTATTCCCCTCTCATTCGACTGTGATTGGTCAATTTTTACAGATTACGGCATAAGTTAACAGTTTACGGCCAGTATAAATCAACCTTAACGCGAACAGACCTAAATAAGCGGAGAGCACAGACTTTTGCATAACGCATTAATGCTTTTTCAGGCGAGCGTTGAAAAGCTGGCGTTAACCCCTCCCCATCAATTTTGAACTATTAGCGAAGCAATGCCACTGTGCACCAAATACAAATCACAGTTCTGCAGCGGGATTCTCTAAACGTTTTTTCGATAATTGTTGTTATCGTTAAATAGCGACAGCCAATGAGAGCCGCGCTTTCTTTCAGGATTATCCTGCCATTGACTGTCGCTAGTTAACGATAGCGACAATCATCGATAAAACGTTTAGAGAATCCCGCAACTGGTAAAATATGTGTGAGTGTAAATATAATTAATAGAATATTTGAAAATATAGCCATGTCTGAAGAAACTGGAGAAGTTTGTATAGCGGATGAAAATACCAACGAAGTTAGTATGTATTATACAGTAACAAGTATATTTGTACATTAAAATGATTTCTAATTTAATTATATTACAACGATTTATTTATTATATTGTGTTAATTTACATTTCTTATATTGTAAGAAGCTTTAGTAATGTCGTATATATGTACACACCTGTGGTGTGTGCGAAACTATTTGTAATGAAGAAGAAATGTCATTCTTGTATACAGAATTATTAAATTATTTTTATTATTTTTTTTCCTCCAAAACCAACTTTGGAATTAAAGCAAAGAAAAAACTATGTTCCGAACGATTTTCGAAAATAGGTGCTACATTTATTTTTTCCTGAAGAGACGTAGTCTTGATCTTAGTTTTACAATTAAGATTTATTTAAGAAAGCGGAGTTTACAAAGAGCTTTTTAATTCAACGAAGAAAAAGTTACACACAACCGAACAAGAAGAAGCAAAGAGACGGTCTGAAAAACAGCAGCGCAACGGAGAAAGACAAACGAACATACCGAAATACAAGAAGAATGCTTTCTGACGTTATCTCTAGAAGCTTCTCAACTCGCACGCATCATTTGCACACGATATCTTGATTACAATAACGCCATCTATATCGATATCGGTTTTAGTCTACGATTAGCCCGGATCCTCATACGGACAACAGCGCTTTGACACCGGACGCTGATTGGTGAAAAACCGGACCTCAACATTTCCTTTTATACATGTTTTTGTTTTTTAATGAATTCATAGCAATTATAACAGCTGCGCGTCGTCTTCTGACTTCTGTTGCAACTGCAGCTGCCACTTACGTCTATATTCTTCTATATACGCGATATATTGATTATTATAATTCATTCTTAATAATAAAACGTTACAAATGTTTATCTTTTAAATCTTTTTTTTAATTAATTGCAATGTTTATTGTGTATGTACACGCATTATAACTGTCAATATCGATTTTTAGCTTTAGAAACTGAAGTCGGCGAAGAAACGCTCCATGAAAAGGAAGGAGGCGATAGCTTTAAGGTTGATTTATACTGGCCGTAAACTGTTAACTTATGCCGTAATCTGTAAAAATTGACCAATCACAGTCGAATGAGAGGGGAATAATCGATTATAATTGGTCAATTTTTTACAGATTACAGCATAAGTTAACAGATTACGGCCAGTATAATCCAACCCTTAGCTTTTCAACGCTGGATTTGAATTGTGACGGAGTGGGAATAAACGCCAGCTTTTCAGCGCTCGCATGAAAAAGCAGCTTAATACATAGTGCATTAAGAGAATCAACCTGAATCCCTCCTTTCCTTCCACTTCACGGAAAAGAAGAACTTTGATTGGCTGATTCTTTTATATACTATGCGTTATGCATTATAAGCTTGTGTCTGGGTTCTTATTGGTCCAACAGTTTTATGTTAAGGCCATCATACGTACAAAAATTTTAGTTGTAATCGTAAGGTCTTAAAAAAATCGCCTAATCACAGTTTAGCGTATTAAAACCATAGAAATATAGGGACAGAGCATAATGTTGCGGGGGGGAAGCCACTACGGGACGGTGCGACGAGGTAATACATGCCTAAGTCTGATTGGCTGTTATTGTACGCATGCGCAAGTGACAAGTGTGATATATGTGCATGCAACTCTAACCTCTAACTGGATTCAAGTCTCAGCACCGGTGAAGTCCTGTAGTTCGGGAGTTGTACGTTTTGACCTAGCAATTTTTTGACAGTGCATCGATTAACTTGAAATGTTCACAGTAGGTAGGGAATAGCCTAAAGCGGGGAGCACAGACTTTTGCATAACGCATAAAGCATGTGCATAAGGAATTTCATTGGTCCATTTTCTTATGCATGAGTCAATGGACCAATCAAATTGTTTATGTATATGGTTTATGCGTTATACAAAAGTCTGTGCTCCCCGCTTAAGGATCAAAATCTATATTATGCCGTAGGACGCTTTCATCCCGGGGGTGATTGTCACCCCATCTCGGGGGTGGAAATTTTTTATTACATTTTTACCACAGGAATCGATAGAAAAACTAATTCTAAGCAAAAAGTGTTCTATACATTTTTTTTGTAAAATTAATACTTTTCGAGTTAGTAGGGACCGAAAGTATCAGTTTTTCACAGAAAAAATGACCATTTTGAATCGGTTATTCGCAGCTAACTCGAAAACGATGCATTTTATCAAAAAAAGTGTAGAGAACAAAATTGTAGCTTTTACAAAAACAAAGAAAATGCTTATTTTATAAATTTTTGTATGACCAATAGGAACCGAGCTACGGGTTCTTAAAAGTAAGCTCTTCTTCGTCAAACGCTAAATTTGAGAGTTTCAAAGTCAAATAACGGGAAAAGTATGCATTTTTATAGAAAAACTTATAGAGTCTTTTTTAAAGTATATGAAAAGACCTTTCTTTTCCGTTTTTAGAGAAGTCTGTAGCATAAAAATTGAGCGAGTTATGATGAAATAATGTCGGTCTCTATTTTTTTCATCGAAAAAAATCAGCGAAAACAACCCCTAATTACCACCCAAATTAAAATTAATCGTTGCCCTTTTACAGTTGTCTTTATTTATATATTATTAATACATTCTATGAGTTTGACCGGTCTAGAATGCTTAATTTTGAAAAAAGGCGATCTCTGAAGGCGAGTCGACGAAGTGATATTTTTCGCAATATTTATTTTAAGGAATAGCGTCTTTTACGGCAACGCGTAATAATAATATTAACTAATTTTTGTACCGACCGTAAATTGTCAAACAAACAAGGAAGAATAAACGCCTATAACGGTCAAAGCTGGATCAAAGTGCTAATAATAAGTATATGTGAATTTTTATATGCTACATATGTAGTCCCCCCATAATTGATGAGTCCAGTAATGGAAAGCCGGGACGAAACGCCAAAAAACATTGTGATATTTTTCGTAATATAAAGATTAAATTATTAAGATCCAATTTATTGACGGAATTTTAAATTATCATCTTTTTATGTAATTTGGAATTAATCAAGTATTTATCGGTGATATTATAATACTACTGTAGTATTTATGCGTTATATGTCTGAATGTTTCAACGCGCAATTATGGAGGGACTACATATGTAGCATATAAAAATTCACATATACTTATTATTAGCACTTTGATCTAGCTTTGACCGTTATAGGCGTTTATTCTTCCTTGTTTGTTTTATAATAATATTGTTGATAAATTATTATGTCTTATATTATTATTATTATATTATATTATTATATTATTATTGTCTTTAACATTATGTCTTGTTTTACATGTATATATAAATCTGTTATTTTTAATCATATAAGCTAGTTATGTCAAGAATATTTTATGTAACGTACGCAAAAAGCATCGAAATAAATAAATTGTTAAAATAAATTGTTGTAAAATAAATAATATTGTTGTATAAGATATTTTCTAAAATATTTTTTGTAGTCTCGTGTTCAAACGTGTGGATTATGTGAAACTATAGGCGGTTTTTCGTTATCCAACCAAAAACGACCGCGATTTAAGGCTATCTTTGTTTTCAGGAATCAAAAGACAAAGGGCTGCGCACAATGGAGGAACAGATATTAGATATTAAAATATTAACCTATCAGATACCAGTTATACCGGAATACACGATTCTAATAGGTTAATATTTTAATAGCCAAAGATAGCCTTAGTCGCGGTTGCATAACGAAAAAACGCCTCATATGTAATGAGAACGAAGTACCCACACATGAATGTCTTCAAGGATATTCATTTCATTACAGATAATAATTTGTACTTTTATCCTGTATTAGGTAGTATATATGTATATATATATATAT